CGCGTCCGTTCGTTCGATGACTTTCCAACGCAGCGGCAATATTCCGTGGTTCACGTTGCGCTGCACCGGCCCGAGCGCGCGGAGCCTGGATATTAGACGAAGTAGGAATAATAGCGCGGAAATTGAAGTTTAATTACCGATTCCGCTGCGGCTGCGAAGCAATCGCGAGCCGAAGGGCCATTAACCATCGTCCGCTCGTCTTCGACGGTCAATTTTCCGCTCGCGCGTCGTGGAATTTAAATCAGTTATTTGTTGTTAATTATACCCGTCCGATCGATAGGTCCGCCTCGCGTATCCGTCGACCGGAGAGAAAATTTGCAATCGCGACGGTACGCGGCCACGTCGACGCGCGCAGTCCGGCTATTCCGTGCGCTCGCGGCGACGCGGAGACAATAATTAACGATCAGTCTGTCTGCGGGATTTGCTTAACGTTCTATCGGATAACGAAACGATATTAGAGGCGGACCGGCGAGGCGAGCCGCTTATATAATCCCTGGACAAAAGGAATGGCTTGAAGCGTCTTTTGCCGAGTGTTATGCAGCTGCCGTATATATATGACGGATTATCCGCGACGCGATGCGATCACAAACTCTCGGGTTGCCGGTTTCGAGTTTTTACATGATGTCATCGCCATTCTACGCGATGGGGCCGACACTAAAACCGTGTACGCGTATAAAGATGCTGCCGCGGGAACGCTGCCGTGCCGGCGCATCCTGCGAGCGATGATATTCGGTAGGAAAACATAACCAACGGCTATTTGCAGTGGTCGCGGCGTGACAGTCGAGTCGCCTTAATGCTCGTAACGTGCTCCACTAAAGCGGACCGAGCGCCGTGCAAAATATGGACGGGACGCGTATTCCCGCGTGCGCTCCCGAGAACGTGCCGCACCCGCTCGCGCGCGCCGGCTATTATATTCTCTTATCCACGCCGGCGAAGAAACGATAAAACCGCGCGATCAGCCGCGCTTCGCGTGTTAACGAAACACATTTCCACATTAACCCGCCGAAACACCATCGCGAGTCGTCGGGGAGAAATATCGACGAGCTCCGTTCGGATGCGTGCTTCCTTTCGGATTTCTTTTTTACAACGGTGAAACGTATTTACGCTGATTGCGCCGCGGCACGGATAAACCAGAACCGTCTAAACGCTGGTCGTGCGAAGATCGAGCGAAAAGGATTTCCAGATAAGGCAGCGCTTAGTATCGTTCAATCTTAAAGCGGCATTTGCATATTTGATGCGCCTGCCGAGATGAGTTAATCGGTCAGCGTTGCTTAAATAACGACGTGCGGGAGAACGAAGCTATAAAGCGGGTCTCCTCGAGCACTGTGTCTGCTTCCCGGTTGCTCGGGCTTGAATAAGCGAACCCCTTCGCAATATTAAACGATAAATTCTCCTTCTGTTTACCCTTTATAATTCACAGCGTTGTCTAAACAGGCGGTAAGATTCCCGTCGACGTCACGACTGAACAGCGAGTCAAATCGTTGCCGGAAATCTGTCGAGTGTTCGCGAACGTAATCGTGTTCGATCTTCGAAACGAATACGAAAGAGATGTATTCGCGTCCTGAACATCCGGCAGGGTTTCCCTTTTTCAAATTTTCAAGCCGCTGACAGGCATTGTCGCTGGAAAGATCGAAATTACTCATTTCCCTTCTGCGAGAATACCGATTTCGAAGATTCGTGCAATTCATCGTATGCACAGTTAACGCTAACGATACGCCGAAAAAGTGACTTGCGGTTAAACTTATCGAGAAACAGCCGTAGGAATTGCGCGGCGCCTATCATCGAAGATTTACGATCGTTGGTTAATATGGTTATTGATTGCGATTTGATCGGTGTAACATGCATCGATGCGTCATCGACGAGAGCCCGCGGGAGCCTGCGATCGTTATCGTTGGAATGGAAACGCAAAATCATGCGATATCGATTCCCGCGAAGAGCCTCTTCTGTTTGTCGAACGGACAAGCCGAAGGAGTGAAACAATAGGGAGAGCGTATTCGTTGACAAAACGGAAAATACCTTGCGTAAACGGTGCTCGTCATCGAACCGCCGCGAGTCATCGAAGACACTCGTCCCGGCATTGTCGGAGATCCGTCTCCCGCGAGGACCGCGTGTGCGGCAGAAACGAAATAGGAATCTCCGCGTTTATTGCATCCTCCGGAATCGCGGTTAACCAACGTATTAACACTAGAGCCGCCGGATGGGTCAACATCGTCCGTTTCGCAATTCTCAGATTCACGATTGTTCCGATGATAAAGAAACTTTCGCTAGAAATTGTAAGGCAAACTCATGTGTTTGCGCGGATACAACAATGCGAATCGCTTCGAACCTCGCTTTCTCAATTTCCCTATGAAACCGTTAGTAAAATCATTCCAACTGCTCGGTAGTTCGAGTGCTAATGGATCGCGACTAATCGAGAAAATTCTGTCGCTTCCGAGCTCGTAAAAATTTCGAGCGCCTCTCGCGAGTCGTTTCGAGGCTGCGCCTGGATATCGTCTCGCGAAACAATCGCGTAACTCGTTTAGATTCGTCGCTTCGGGGGCAAGAAAACTTGTTTCCGCGGACCACTTAAGAGACGGAGGTGAAAAGAACCACTTCCCATGCTCGCCGAGAAAAACCGTTAATCGACCGGGAAGACGGAGGAGCGGAAACAATACTTCCAACGATAAAGCGCTAGAGATAAAATGGAGCCAGCGCGGGGGAAGCTGCATTAGCTTCGAATTTTGTAATCTCGTTCGAGAATAATCGACTAGTTGAACGTTTACCCAGCGAATAACGGAGTCGAGGGGTGTCCTCGAATCGGGCTCCGTCGAATCGGTAACGGCGAAGGGGCGAGCGAATATTTAATTTAGCGCGAGAGCTCAAGAAAGTGTGCCACGGGCAGGGCGCGACGCGGTTCAACTTATTAGCCGGGGACAGGGCCAATAATAGTCTTATTCCCTTTTGGGATACGCTCCGGCCGCGACTCGAGACTCTGACTCCGAGCTCGCAAATGAAATTGCGATGCTTCGTGTTATCGGCTGCGTCGCCTTATTGCGTCGAGCTCTAGATCGTTGGAACAAGCTCCGACGCGAATTACCGCGACAACGACGAGCAATCGCAGCGACAACTGCGAGCAGTCTTCGGATTTGTCTTGCTCCCTTCCCTTTCGTTCCCTTATATTCCCGCCGAATACGCGTAAAGCCTGAAATTTACATTGGTGAACTTGTATTCGATATGCACCCCTAAGCTCAGTGTTCAGTAACTAACGCTAGAGGTTCCAGAGAAAACTCGGGTAACGCGCAGGAACCTTAAGACGAAATTCGTGAGAAGTATGCCTATGGAAGGATTGTAGGTTACTGGTTGCACGCTATAGTCGCGAAAAACCCGGAAGTCCCATTGTCCAGCGCAGCAGCGAGTTTCGCGGGAAATATGATTTCTGTTCAACCAGGTGTGCACGATCCGCGTCGGAACAATGCCATTTCACGGATCCGCGGCGATTCTTCGGCTCGTTAGCGTGGGAAATGGTTCCCCGATTAACGTCGCTGCTCGGAATACCTTAGGATGCCCGCCAGGAAAGAAGGAGAATCGCCAGACCACGAAACGCGATTCCAAAACGTCTGTCCGCAGTTTCATTTCGCGAATGATAAATTTCGAGGGAAAATTATCGGCCGGCGACACGCTGTTTCCCGTTCGGATTCTCATTTTCAGTGAAAGAGTCGTATCAGCGTTCGATGCATCAACGTTATCGGTTTACCCGTGCATCGGATCGCCGAGAAAATCCGTTCGACGCACCGTTCGCAATATCAGCAGGCGTCCAAGGACAGACGGTGTCTTTGATCTCGGAAATCGGACGGTGTAGCCGATTATTAATCGCGCCGGGTCGAATCGAAACCACGTAATTTCGGTAATGGCCATTTCCGTCGTTGTTCCGAGGTAGGTAACGCGGATGCAGCCCGCGGCGAAAGAATTACCGGTCACGTATGTATCAGATGTCACGTAGCTATCCGTGGTCAATGAATCCAATTCAGTCGAGCTAAGTGAAACGCTGTTATCGGGCCGCGCGGTAGCGTGTGCCGGCGTTATTATATTCCGGGCGTGTACGATACGAAATAACCGCCGATTCACGGTTTATTAACGCCACGAGAATACGGACGATCGTTGCTTTCCCGTGGACAATGTTCCCGTCGTTAGCAATTTCGTCACGAAGATCGAATCGTTTGAGCGCGTTAGTACCGGCGGTATTATGGGAACGCGAAGACCCCGGCCATAAATATCGGTTCGCACGAACGCATCACGCGGAAATGAACGATCCCGATCGAGTTCCTATCCGGACTATCGAACCGTCGACGAAAAAGATCGACGGTGCCAGCCGAGCACGAGTAAAACCCTATCGAATCGACCAGCGACCATATCCGATCCGTATATACGCCCGGTTTCTCGTTTAATAATTTCCCTCGATGTATTTCCGAACTCGAAGCCACGTACAATTGATCCGTCGGGTAAAGCGTCAAAGGTTAAGAAGTTGGACGAAGGCGGTTCAAAATATACCGTGGCTTCGTTCGAGGGTTACTTCTGGGAACTATCGAATTTCCAGAAGAGCCCTCCTCGAGAATGTTCGATGAGACGACTTTGATCGGGCGATTAGCGATTCCCGACGGACTCGCGAGGATCCAAGGTGTCGTGAGTAGACGAATGGCTAATTAAGCTGTCGTACATCCGCGGAAAACAAAGAGAAGAAAACGATCGGCGTTTACGATAACGATTATTCGTATCGTCTAAACTCCGGGTAGAAGAATCCTATGGCTCATCGAGGGTCATCACGGAAATTACGCGACGTCACCTACGATCTTCACCTTGGATCCGAACGTAGGAGTGATCCGAGACCGTCGGATTCGACGAAAAAGTCCCAGCGATTTTCTCGGGGAGCCGAACCACGCGGCTGCGAAGAGGAAAAGGGCAACACGGTGGGAGACGAATTATAAAAGGACGTTCGACGGTGAGAGGTTTTACAGTCACACGTTCCGCGCTCGTAGCTGTGAGGCTGTACCTCGTGTGCCGTACCTGCCCTATCACGTGTTTATTGTGTTTATCTCTTGTGCGCATCCGTACATGCCGAGCGTAATATCGCGCTCGATCGATCCTCGCATTCAACGGATTTCTAGTCAATCGATCGTCCCGTGATATTCGAAGGTAAGGTGAACGACCGACTGCGAGTGTGATTATGCAACGAGGAACAAGTGCGCGGACGGAACTCGCGGAATTGTGAATCAGTTTTTCGTCGCTGATCGAAACTCGGCCGGGCGGGGCGGATCCGGTCACAGAGCTCGCGGCGTTTTTGGTCGTCCGTCAGTCTTGTTAGCTCGAGGTTCGTTAAAAGCACACCCGTGGAATCCTTGCGGTCGTCCGAGGTTCCCGCGGCGCGGCGGCGACGGCGGCGGCGGTGCGCTCCCCAGAACAGTAAACAATGAAATATTACTAAATCGTGATTAACGTCGCGCGCGTTGCATCCCACGCAGCGGCCGGAAGATAAAGTGATCGTCGGATTTTCAAACTACACCGCGGAGCTCTCGCCGCGTAATGCTACGAAAACGCGAGTTAATAATTAACGTTCTCGCGCATACTTTTTCCAGCGTTGTTCCTTCAAATATTAATTCCCGCGGCGCAGTGGGCGAGAGAGCGCACGGCCGCGCGCGCGCGCGCGCTGCCTGGCCGCCTCGGTAAACGCGGCCACGTTAATTAGAGGTAAATTAATTAACACGGCCGGTTAGTTAGATGCGCATTAATTCGCTCGGCTTCCTAATTAATGCGAATATTTATTTCGGTGTGATTTTAATGCGGCTCGGGCTTACGTAAAAGGGAGCATCGGGGCTTGTTCCTCGCGCCGGGAAACGGAGCCGAATGGAAATTAGAATCGACTGCGGCGCGCGACGAGCCTCGGGAAACGAAGACCGGGGAGCACAACCAGCCCGCGAGTTTTTTTCCGCGAGAAAGTCGGACCGCTTCAGCCCGCATCGCGCACGCGATCCGCCTGATTTCCGTACGGCCCTGACTCGGATTGCCGACTACCGGATACGGACATTAGCCGGTAGCAAAAACTTCCAAGTCCGACCGAAACGCGAATATCCGTACGCACGCGATTCACTCGCGATGCGACCAGTTAGGGTGCGTTTACTGCGTTTCAGACGGAACCTAAGGGAGTTGCATGTCGATTCGAAGGATTAAATACCTTTCTATGGTGTGCAAGCTGTCGGAGTTGAATTATCATTTTAGATTCCTTAATATATATATTACTAAACACTTCTAATATCAAATAATAGTATTTAGACGCTTCTGTCGTAGCAGATGTGATTGAGTAGCACAACTCCGTTGTAAACGCCCCCGTTTCCATTATAAGCAATAAATTCATCGACCTGTCCATTCACGAGTCATTACCTAATCCTTCTTATCGATCTATCACGTAATGAGAGAGTATACGGTACCGCTTTTTCCAGTCACCCGCGCCACGTGACACTGCCTTGATAATTTTCTTGGCCGTTGTACGATCGCAACTTCCGCGAACTAGCGCACAGAATAATTGTTGTTTTGTTCGGCGAAGGATGTCGTACAACGCCTCCGTGACATCGGCATGCTCGGGCCCCTATCTAGGGCCGAGTCTTGCCAGCGCCTGCCCAGGCGCGCAGTTCCTGACCTTTATGACGCTGCTGGATACGTTCATCCGCTCAAAAAACGAAATCTCCCAATTGTGTGACCGGGTCAAACCAGTCGACCCGCCAGAGAACAATTACGACTTCATCGTTGTCGGCGGTGAGTATTTTCCACCTTTAGTTCTGTCGCTACATCGCGCAACTCGATTCGGTTTGTTTCCAATTGGCCGCAGCGTCACGGGCAGATTGTATTTAACATTCGATACCGTCGAAACGATCTACTTTGTTGCATCGAAAACCGTTACGCGGCGTCGAACGGTTTGGGAGACAATCGAGTCGAGCGTGCCGCGATATGCAAAATTCACACACGCATACCAGCATTTCACGGTGCCAATTGAATTTTTCATATGTAACGAGACACACGTGTCAACTCAATTGATTTTAATTGTCAAGCACGTCGCGCTGGTAAGACAACGCGAAGAGACAAATATTTTATGGACCGTTTTCGTAGCGATATTATTCATCGCGTTCGAGAATATCCTAGAATTTTATCGAACCAGAGACACGGACAGCGAACGCGGGAGAATGTTTTACGTGAAATTCCAACCGGGAAATCGATCAAGCGTTTCTGTCAGCGCGATCGATTCTATTTAGCTCGCGAAATCCGCGGAAACTCGAGCAACGAATGGAGTTTTCGTTTCATCGGTAGAAATGTAATAAGGGCGATTAAAATTTTAGACAAGGGAACGTCGGATCTATCGACGGTCGATCTGTCCGTGTATATTTTCAGCCGTTTAACGAAGCGCCGATTAAAGAAATCAGCCGAGTCGAATCGATCGGTTTTAACGAATACCCGGCCAACAATATACCCGAACAACGTGGGCGCAATATGCGGCTGATTGCGGTAAAGTAATCAAACATTCAAATTAATCGGCTTTACGATGGTAATCTCCCGCTTCGTATATTTAAACGCGAAGAATTTAAGGACAAATTCGAATAAACTAATTCGCGGAGATACCGAGTTTTCCGTTAACGCGGAATAAAAGATATCGAATCGGGATTGAATAAGGTTCGTTAGATGTCGCTCACTTCTGCGGAGGAGCCCTGAACACTATTCCTAGCGAACCTGTCTATTTCCTTGGTTTCATCAGTTTAATCAGTCAATTGAATTTTCCACGTTTCAAATAATTTTAACTAAAAACTTCAAAACACGATTCGCGACACTTTCGGTAGAAATAATGTTAACGAAGACTGTTTAAGTCCTCCCGAATATTCGAATGTTCACATTATCACCGTATACGTAATTCGCGAGTTTCACTGTGAAATTTACATGTTATGGAAACTACGCGCATACGATAATTACATACGATAGCTTGCGTAAGTGAAGAATTTTTATCATTGTTTCGAGAAAGATGAGCAGATTACGCTTGTCGTTCCGTATACGCTAACCGGCGAATACGGTAATTCGCGAAACGCGATCGATTCGACTCGATCGCGTTGGCTCCCGAACGAGTGCGTTGATTAGTAGATTTCGGCGGCGGGTTAACCTCCGTTACGGGCGGAACAAGTGACGCAGTAGCTCGTCTTATTCGTTGAACAAGTTATGGAGGATGGAAGCGAAGCAAGCCTAGTGGAATAAAGGAGTCGGTAATTGGATATTTTACGAGGCGGTTGGCGAAATCGCGGAGGTAAAATTCGCGGCGCAAGTTCGCGACTTTATCCGGACCGTTTAGTCGGCCTGACGGTCGGTATTAATCCTAGCTGGTTTCTCTTTCGGTGATTATTGTTGGTGTGCAACCGCGAAGGCCGTTTTTACGCTCGCGCGACACCACGAACGGCTGCCGGTTCCGTTTCGTTTCGTTCCGTTCCGTTACGATCCGCCACGCTGCCTTCAAAGACGGCGCGATCGCACCGCGAGATGCGATCGAGCTTGAAGTTCTCGCATCGCAAGCGTTCGGAAACCGACACCGTTCGTTCGGCCGATGAACATTCTTCCCGACACGTCGCACCGCGATTACTTTCGTTCCTGTAATCGAGGGACAAGCGGCGCGACGAGGTTTCGATACGTCATCCTCTCGGTGCGCTTATCGCGCGATTTTACACATGTACGATTGCATCTGTTAATTAGACCGCACATTAGAAAGTCGACGACGACACAAGGAAGGGGACTTTATCAATTTCGTAGTTAATATCTCGGTTGAGCACACACGCATTAACCGGCTGCATTTTTTTCCGCATTCGTAATTACCAGAGGTGAAGTGGACGGACGATTATTGCCAAGGATAACGCGTAGAAATGAAAAACCGATACGAGATACGAGAATGACGGTCGTTGAAAGCTTCGGCGCGCGGGACACGCCTTTTGAAACCGGGACGGCACGTTGGAAATGAAATGAATTCGTTAAATTCGTCGGAGATACGTATACGCGTAAACGCATTAATTCCCCGCGAATGTCCGCAGATTAATGAAAACTGCGATCGGGTCTCCCGTGTCGCGCGGGGGGCCGTCCCGTCGCGTCCCGTCGCGTCGGACGAGTAACATTTTCAGCTTTCGTAAACGGCGTTAACGCGTGCGCGACGGACAAACGGAATTATCGCGGATCCGGTCGCGGCACTGTGGCGCACGCCGCCCGGTTCGATCGAAATTCAACGATTATCGCGGGTCACAGGCAACGACGAAAACGCGATTCGACGCAGCGAGATCGCGGCTCGCTGTTTAGACGCGATATTAATACGAACTGTTATTCATTCAGTGGGCCCAGCGTGATTATTGGCGTCATTAATTTAATTTCGAGTTCGCGCTTCATCGCTGTCCTCGCCAAACGACCGAGCAGCCCCCGTCCCAGCCGC